GTTGCGTAACCAGCCGATGATTAATCCGCGCAGATCGGCGATCTCGGAAGCCTGACCATAGCTAAGGCTATAAATAGAAACTGTCAATATTTTGATAGGTTGATAAAAATATAAGGAAATAAATAAAATTTCAGTTGTTAATGCGTTTCGGTGTTTTCCCACTTGGAATATGGGTCATTACCTGAACCCGTTTGACAGCAAAATGTCCTCTGGTTTGTACCAAAACATTTTTTTTTTCATATTTTTGAATAGTCAATCGAATATATCCAGGAAGAAAAAAGGTACTGCTCGAACATCACTAAAATCAGGAGATTTGAAAAAAAATACATGAAAGCACGAAGAAAAAGCCTCGGACAAATTCTAGTGTACCAAGACGTCAGACAAATAAGGAAGGGGTATTACGCCGGGTTAATTATAAAATATTGTAAATCATCCTAATGGAAAAAAGTTGTTTAGAATAATTAATTAAAGAATTGAACAGAATTGTTTTTCCATTGAAGGGTAGAGACTTGTAGAAGAAAACCGTAAGAGAAATCAATAATAAAAATAACAAACAAATTTGATTATACTATATTAATACTTTAAATAGCGTGGCAAATAACACTGGATTGTGCCCGATATCAAAACTTCCCAAAGTGCGTTCCCAGACGGGAAATCAAAATGCAAAAGCAGAAAAGGGGCATCAACATCATCACCCTCACCTCCACCGCCATCACCACCGCCAGTACATCCGATGTGACGTGGAATAAACATTTGTTAATTAAGATATGAATGTTAAATTAAAAAATATGAACATTGTCCTGGCAGTGATGTAGAATATGTATAATTTACTCATACTCATTTGCCAACAATTTTACTAGAATGTATTGCTTTAACTTCTACACAAAAACTGAAAATGTCATAAGACATTATTGTTGATTGGTGTATTATTTTATAAACAAAAGATTTCGATTTCTACTATATATATATATATATATATATATATATATATATATATATATATATATATATATATATATATATATATATATATATATATATATATATATATTACACATCTTTGTGCAGTGTAACTTTTTTATGGACAACGTGTATCGATCGTCGGCGGACAAGTTGAAGCATATACTGATATTTTGCAAGAAAAGGAATTTCTGGCGATTTGACATCGAAAAATTTATAGAATTTTATTATTTCAAACATTACAATGACAGTATATTTTGAAAAATAATTATCACACTAGACTCATCACACACACACACCCCTTTCTCCCCAGGCTGCGCAAACCCACTGTATTAAATCACACTGCAAAACTTTTTTGAATACTAGTAAATGAAAATTCGTGGACAGGTACATTTTCATTAATTTTAGTATTTTGCATTTCGGAGTATATACCGCTGAGAGGCAATAGCGGAAAAATAAACACTTTGACATATAAGTTTTCTTTTGTCTATAGATTGCTGGGATATATGTCTAACTTATAAAAGCATATTTTTTACAAGATTGAGCCCACTAACCTACCTTAATTATATATATTAAGATGACCTGAATCACTTCATTTCAGTCAGACATAAAAGCCAATCTGCAACGTTTTTCTGCCCAGACACACAAGTAGGACAAACACATGAACACATATGCAATTATAAAAAAAAAGGGGTGTTTAAAATAGAAGGTATATATTTATAAAATATTTTACATACACTTGGTTTAACAAGATATTGTTTGTATATAATATTTGAAGCAAATAGGTTTACAATCATAAGTCCCTCTGCTTTCTGAGTGCATGCATGGGTAAATAATTGGGCTCCAAAATTTTGAAAAATACATAATGTACAGTAATAACGGTAGGAAAATGATAAGAAAGATGATTTAAGACGCGAAAATATTTCCTAAAGCCAAAAAGAAGAAGGAAGCTAAGAAAACAAAGAATTCAGATGGCAATCTAAGTGGTGAAAGCGAGGGAAAAATTTACGTAAGATGCTCACTTAAATTTATGCTCAGAAAATTGTGGATATAATAAACGGTAATAAACGCATTCCTAATATTGTAAATATACACTTTAGATAGAAATTAACTAACTAGAGAGTGTTAAAAAGACGAAACGTCATTATTCGTCATACCTCAAAATGGACATTTATTAAAATATTTTTAATATTTGCTTTTTTTTTACTAACCCAATTGTGAAATTGATTTGAAAGCCATTTTTGTGTATACTCACGCGCAGAAATATGCACAGAGAACCTCGTGCTAAAGTACCGTCACAATGAGGTTACAGAGACGTTAATAAAAAAAATCATGTATGACAATATAGGGCAGCGAGAAATTCAAACACTGAGTATATTTTTGGCGCATTTAAACATGTAAAATGTAAATATAAGGAATGCTTTTAAGTTTAGTGTGAATTATTGGTGTGTAAATAACACAGACTTGCACGTAGGCATATTTTTCATAAAGCACGCTATATGCCAACGTGACAAGTCTATGAGATTTACACACCGATAACTCAAACAAAACTTGAAAACATTCCTTAAATAAGTTAATATACACATGCAAATGATTTTTGGGAAAGACGTTTCTTGAAATGTACGAATATTTTTTTTTTTTAAATCTATCCTATTTTTCTATGTTTCTTTGTTTTTGTTTTGTATTTCTGCATGAAAAGTTCGCTGAACAATTAATGAAAAGTACACACTTTATTGCATATACTGATCGTAAATGGGGGAAATCCGCCTCTTTTGATTTACAATGTATTTTCAATCAAAAAAACTCTAGTGGATAAAGTTTCATTATGAAAACTGAAAACGGTCAAGATAATAAACAATGATTGCCCTCAAAAGGGGGAAAACCTACAAACAATACAAATTTGTGACAAGGGCATAAAACACGGACCTCCGTAAATTTCAGAGGTGGAATCAGGTGCTTAGAAGAAGTAAGTACCTCCACTTCACCGGATACACACGCCAAGAACCCTATGTATTAATTAGGTAGACGGTACATTTTGTCAAATTAAGTAAAAGAAACAAAATAACATTTGGTATGAATCTTAATTTTACATATCTGCACAGGTAACTATTTTTTTTTCCTCAAAATAAGAACAATATATTTCTAGTTTCCAATTTGTTAACACCACACATGTTATATGCAGAGGTTATTCAATATAAAGAAAATAACAATAATTTATAACATCTATGATGTAATTTACACGGAAAAGCCGTTAAAATAATATTTTTACAAGAATCGTCATTTTATGCTATGACATTTAGAAGCATTTAGAATACAAAGAATACAAAATTAATACACATATAAAGTAATTCTTTTATAAAAAAAAAAAAAAAAAAAAAAAAAAAAGTCTGTTTTTAAAACTTCCATGTAATCGTCAATCCATTGATTTATTGCGCATGAACCTATAAGAAAAAAAGATAAAGAAATTTAAAAGAAACAAAAAGATCTTTCATCATTAGAAAAAAGCAAAAATAAAACTTCGGACATCAGAATTTTGAATAACAGAAACTTGGATTTCAAAGATGTTTTTCATTAACTGATAAAAAAAAAAAAACAACAAATACAAAAAATACAAAAAACAAAAAGTGAAAAAAAAAACAGTAATAATGATGATTACATGCAACTAGAGCAAATCTCGTTGCAAAGCAACGAGTATGTCTTCCGTCCAATTGCTTGTAAGATGAGTATATGAAAATATTTATATCCACTGAATATGTTTTCCTTTATTTCTTAAGAAAACCATTGCCTAACATTAGGCATATCACGTGTACAGATTTCTTGATCAGTGGCTGTTCCATCAATGAAACGTACTATGACGTACCTATAAATAATACGATAATTATAATTTATAATCCTACTTCAAATGATTATTTATACAGATATAAATATAAACAATAAAATGTCTTTCTTTGGTTGTTAGTATGGAAATTAACGTCGCAGCTATTGCAGCAAAAAATTACATAATCCGCTTACGCGGATTATGTATTTTTTCTGCAACAGCTGCGACGTTAATTTCCATACTAACAACCAAAGAAAGCATTTTATTGTTTAAATAAACCATTCATTAAAAAGAAGGCCTCCAGACCAAATATGATGTAGATCTTTATTTTGGATTTTGTTTATTGGAATCTTTTCGTGACACAAAGCAATTCAAGACTGGTTTGACTGAAAATGACCCCAGTCGACAGATAATTGACTTAGGTGAAATAAATCATTTGATTTCATGTTCATATCTGCAGAAATAAGTCATTTTTAGTTACTTGCAGTTTTACCGTAGGTTGTCTAAAGTGACGATACTCGATAGAGTTAAGTCTGCCGTTTTGCATTACGTCACAACCTATGATGACACTGCGCTCAAGTTAAATAGTACACGCGTCCTAACCGCAAGCTTTATGGCTGGAAGTTTCTTTTTAACCCTGATTGGTTGCTTGTGCAACAGATTATTTCCGTGTCAATGTTGATAAAATGAGTTCACAATCGCACAACAGGGATGTGAATTGTTTACGCTGGGCGCATCTGTCGTAAAAGATCGTGACGTAATGCGAAACGACACACTTAACTGGAATTAATAACATCTCTAGCTTCTACTTGTCATTTTGAACAACATTGTTTCCTAGGTATATTACATGTACACATTTTCAATACTTTTTTGAAATATCCTGAAAAAACTTTCGACCCTCTAGATCCCTTATTAAAGGGGTTAGCCCCTGTTTGAGATAGCAATTGAAAGCTTTAATTAGTAATTCTGCACTTCTTTTGTTTATGTTTTAAAAACATATTTTAAGTTAAAAATTATAAAAAGGGTGTTATAAAATTTGAAATTCTCGATATGTCTATTTTTGGGACATATTGAACATCGGTGGTTGAGATAAACAAGGTTGCTCTATCATCACTGAAAATTTCATACTTCTATGTTCAGTGGTATCGTTATTAATGTATAAAACAGAAGACGTGTTTGAAATGTCAGTCAAATTATGTAGAAAAAAAAATGAATAATGTACCTATCGACGTTTAATCATCATCTTCGTCTCCCTCACTTCTCTCCCTTCAGTTATTAAAGGAAACCAAGGATTATACCACCCTGGAGATGACCAGGGACCATTGAGGTAAGCCCAAGCACAGCTATTAAACCACCAGCCCCCGCCATAGCCATTAGCACAGTCAGATCTTGGATTCCCATCATTATCCCTGTCAAAGGTGCTGAAGTACATCCCGGACAATTCAGACATTTTATCACCTATAACAGATTAAAAAAAACACTCTGTATGTACATTGATAATGCAACTGTAATGCGCAAAATTCATAATATTATATAAACAATTATTTTCCTCATTTTCATTGGCTGAATATATTCCTCCTTTTTGTAATACTGATCCCAAAGCGCGTCCGCTGGAGTTACGTAGAGTGTGAGGTGAAAATATGTAAGAACCATGTTTTCCATTGTCGCGTAGTGACAGCCGGGTTTAGGACTGTTCGAGATCATTCGCTTCGAGTTATTATATATAATTAATATGGACTTTAGTGAACGGTCAATACCTTACAGACTCGGTCGCTATCACTTTCTGTGTCTTCGGTCAATATCACTTGTAGTCCTTATAAGCACATATCGACCTACACTGAAGTCCATATTTGTATATATAATTGTTTTCAATTCTCATATCGTCATTGTACAGACAGATTCGATATAACAATACAGCTACCATTATCGCTTTGTAACACATGCGAGCCTATAAAATATAATTTTGATTAATATACGAGGGTTGTTAGAAAATTTCGCGGATAAGTTCTATTTAGGCGAGCTATATGTATGAAACCAGTAAAACTTTGTAGATAAAGAACACATTTTATCGAATAAATATGCAATATTTTTTTTTGATTTTCCAATGATCTATATAAAAAAAATAAACAGCTATATTTTAAGATAAAAGATGCCTCACTCAGCATGTCATTTTTTGCCCGTTTACGTTACAAAGACACGTTTTGTCAAGACTAAAAAATTCACTGTTGAAGCGCAGAAAGATTCTTGATATATCATCTATCGCAACAATATTCCTGAAATGTCATTTGGCCAAGTTTTAAATTAAATTAGAGGGGTTAAAACCATTATATGGCTAAACATAAGTGATCAATGCGTAATAACAAATTCAAGAATAGCAACGTCTTGGAACACCGAGATATCAACAATTTTTGACTGTAGACAGGAAAATGCCCGAAAGAGAATGAATGATTTTACATGTAGATGCTGCTTGGGATTGCTCACACGTATCTAGGACCAAAGTGTTCAAATGGTGGTAGCTTTGTTAGAAAGGAAGGGTGTGCATTTTTACATCAACCCCTGGAACACTCCAGTTCATTGTTTATCGCATTGACCTTGCGCTTGTGGATATTGCTTTAAGTCTTTTTTTTCCTGGAATATTTTTTTTTAAAAAAATACATGTTTATTTAAATGTATAAAAGATGTGCGTAAAAATCTAAAACATTGACGACATGAATTGATTTTTTTTAATAATAATGAATTTAAAAATATTGAAAGCATAAGGAATGACAACTCAATGTTCAAAGCATATTTTTATCAAAGTGCGTACAGAAATATTTATGGGTAAAATTTGCGTAATTTACGATAACTTTTAACAACGGGAAGCTAAGTTTTGGGAAAATATTGATAATTCAATCCTTTTGTTCACGTGTTCCCTGTTTCAAAAAAATGTCTCACTCTATGATGACTTTGGCCTGCTTTTACTTAAACACAAAATGGGTTCTTTTATTGTTAGCATGGGAAAAATGTTGATGAAAAATAAGTAGTGAGTTATGTATTTTTTTCCTTTAAAAATTGCAACGTTAATTTTCATTCCAACAAAGGAAAAAAAAAACATTTATGTCGTCATAGAAATTAAATCACATAAACTATGCATATAAATATGCTGATAAGTATCATTTCTTCAGGGAAAAGGGGTGGGGCGTAAAAAGTCAAAAATTCTATTTCGTAGGTGGTGAAGGGGGTGGTAAATTTCAACTTCTTAATAACAAATAAACAGGTCGAGACCACTAGATTTTTGGACGTCAGCATAAATTTGCATGTAAATTAGCTCTCTGTTTACTTTGCCCACTGATGAATGAGTCTCAATGCATTATGGGCTATTACAAGTACTCAGTTGTGTTGAAAATAAAGGGCAACTTGAATTGTCACTTGGACACTCATTTTCCATTTATTTTTTTTAGATTTATGAAAGAAATATTAAAAAATGATGTATAATCTTTTATTTCTACGATCATATTTACAAAATTTGCTTTATGAAACCTTAATATATCAACTAATAATACATCGGCATAAACCATTGTTCAAAGAGACGTAGGTGCTATCGTGTCGATAAAGCATTGAGTTTTTTTTTTTACGTGATATATGTGTACATAGTTTTAGACAGCAGTACAAGTTTCGCAATTATAATCTAACCCAGGGCTCAATATTACCAAACTATTTTATGTACATGCAAACGTCAAAGCGTTTGTACAATATTTGAAGCAATTATTAATCATCTAAAACAACTCCAATATTAAATGTGAGCTTTGAGCAGTGTCTTTGGAATATAATCTTTCAAGTTCGGACTTATAAAGTAAAAAAGAAGCTCTACGTTTTGTTTTGTTTTTTTTTTTTCCGGTAACGAACACTACTGGCTTTCAAAACCCCTGTCCGTATGAAAATCCCCTGTCTTTCTCTGTAACCTACAGCATTTCCACAATTATCTACGGTATATCTACAGTATGGTACGGTATGTCTCCTCTGCATATACAGTAATTCTCAGTATGCCACTGTATGTATCCCCAGCATGCCACTGTTACCTACAGTAGGCCCCAGTACGCCTACGGTAGGCCCCAGTATGGCTACAGCTTCCTACAGTGATCTACGGTATGCCACAGTATATGCCCCAGTAGGCCCCTGTATTGTTAACCGAAGCAAAAAGGTAGAAGTACACAATGTTTTAAGAGGCAATGTTTCTACAGTTGAAGCTATTCATCGCTAAAAATTATTTATGAAGAAGATTATGATGAATTGTTTTTGTACATTACATCTCTAAAGTAATGATATACTTGCTATGTTGTAACAAATAAAATAAAAAAAAAAATAGTATAATAGATTTATTTCAGACGGGGATACGGTCAATATATTAGAAATAACGATAATTAATCACCATTATTTCAAGAAAAAGTCCTGTCCTATTGTAAGTGGCTGAGAATCTTTATATCACTTTGAATCATCGAATCATCAACAAGGTCAGTCTGTTTTGACACATTAAATAAACATATTTGGACTTTCTTCGAACTTATTAAAAAGAAGAATTATAGTTCGTATTAAGCCCGCATGTTTTTCAATCAGATAAAATGAACATGTTTGTAAAGAAGGTTTTTTTTTTTTTAATCTACGAGCATAATTCCCGATAAATAATGTTAAAAATGATGCCATTAATAAAAATGACAGTGGCTAATGAACTGAGGGACGTGATAACAAATTATTCTTTCTGACGCTTACTTGATAAAATTAAATTATAAGTCGTATTCAGATAATATTGAATTTTTATGTATTTATGTAACGAATTCAGAAACAATTATTAACAGCACTGAAATGTTATTCTTCTTTTCTCTTTTTCTCGTTATTTTAAAACGGCCCAGAAATCATTTGAATGTAATTTTCCATTTTTTTGTTGTTGCATTTCTGTCGAATCCTAGTCTGCGTTTTGATTTACGTAATATTCTGCAAAAAGTCGATCAAGTTTCGATTGTGAAATCGATCAATCATTTTCTTTTTAATTTATACGCAACTTTTATAAATATTTCAAACTGCTGAGAGCTCAAACTTTTTATAATTGGAGGATTGTATAAAGCTATTAAGTTTATAAGCCACCCCCTCTTGTCTCCGTAAAATACGCTAAAGACAGGGCCTGATTAGTTGTAATGAAATTCTGCATAATTTCGACCTTATCAGAACAAAATTTTCCGATTTCCGATCATAAAATTAATTAGTATGCTCTTATGGTTCTTATGGTGATACAGAATTAATTTTGTTTAAAATGAAATGAATTTATAATTTAATAATAATTTCATTTACTCTATCATCTAGTTTCAATTTTCAGACCCACTTATGATTAAGAATCATTGATCCGCCCCGCGGTTTTCTTTTTATTTATCAACTTCATTGTATGCACTGAGGCAGAACCAGGGTAGGTTCTAGTATATCTAATGTAATTTGCAGTGGTCAGCTTAACAATAGGTCCTAATTGCCTATTGTTCTCTGTCTGCGTCTGACCACTGGTGTTAGGACTAGATAAACAACTGACTGACCACTCGTAACAAGACTGTTTTCACATTCACTATGAAATATCAGTTTAATTTATAGTAAAGATATGCTAGAAAACTTTAATTGAAAAAAAAAAAAATATCCAAAAAAAAAAAAAAAAAATGAACACTGAAAAACAATATATTTACAATTATTACTGCTAATTTGTACTTTATTCTTGCTAATACTTTCAACATCGATGTTGTTTCTTAGGCGCTTCTTTAAGGGGTGAAACGCATGAATTAAAAATATAAGTTTCGGCTATACAATTTCTATTTTAAAAATATCATATATTTGTAATGTAAAATGCATTGAAAAGCAGGCACGAATGCCTATAATCCTCTTATTCACTGGTACATTGAAATATGCAGTCATTAAAATAATTCGAGTCCAGAGAGAGAGAGAGAGAGAGAGAGAAACATAATTACACTTTAGATTACGCAAAATAAATGGATAAGAAGTTATTTTAAACAAAGGTCAGCGAAAACAGTTGAGAAATAAGGATAAAACAGGATCCGTACATGAAATGAACCAAAATCTTCCGTCAGTTTTATATCAAAATCTACTGATTTAAAATTTACTCTGCTTTATATGCAGTTTGTATCGTACGCTAACTGATGTGAAAAAAATCGGAATTTAAAACACCTAGATATATCTCTCAAACCTTTGGAAAAAAAGAAGAAGACAATTCAATACTAAGTCTTTATTAATTCCAGAAATGCTATAAGTTGTATCATTATTTTGAAAATTTATTTTAAATTGTTCGTATCAAACTCATTCTTTCTGACTATAACCTCAAAAACATACTTAGACACAAGACAGGGCACGGAAATATGCATGACTAATTTTTTTTCTCAAACAATTCAGAGCGTCAAAAAAAAAAAAAAAAAAAAAAAAAAAAAAAGAAA